AGCTGACAGTGAGAGAGAGAGAGAGAGACTTTTCGCTTAGAACTGCCCATTGTCGGCGCTCAACAGTGCGTGTTCTCGAAATTAAATATCGTATCTCTCTGAACCCACCCACACAGGCTGAGAACGCGGCGTGGTTCGACTAACTTCTTCTTAACCTGATGGTATTAATCAACCAAAGTGATAATTAATTATTTATTTAATAGTTCCTTTAACGACGCTATTAGTAAGCTAAGACTCTACACCATCGCATGATGTGGCGATTAATGAATAATGAATTTAAATGAATGTAGAAAGAAGCGGCCGTGTCCTCATGTAAGGTAATATCTTAGAATTTTCTGGCGTCACTTTGGAAAACCACAAAAAAAAAAACAACTCATAATAGCCGGTCACTGCGCTATGAACCATATATCTCCCGAGTACGAAACAGGAATGCTAACCACTCGCTATTTAGGATAAATTGGGTGTGAAGATGGCAGGCTGTTGTGAACACTATAATGAACCTTCAGTTTCCTTAGGTCAGAGGTTCCCAAAATTTTAAACCTTGCGCCCCCCTTAAAACATTTAATAAATTTCAGCCCCCCCCTTCCAGAACAAGTGCAAGCAAACAGATTTTTCATAAAATTTAGTTATGAGTGCACATTTTTTTATAATTTAGTATATATTATTCAATGCATTTAATTTAAAAAAACTGTAATAAAATACACGCTTCATACCTGGTTTAGTGGGATGGGTCCCTAACTGTACGTAGACTTATATTGAAGTTTACTCCCTAAAACCACCGATGGTCTATGAGTCTGAATTCTACTACAGCACTGTAAGACAACTAAACTGCCTCAACCAAGCAAAGGATTTTAAAAATGTTTCTCCATATTTCGTTAAAAAAAGTTTTTCATACAAAAAACACGCCCCCCCCCCACAGGGGGCCGCGCCCCACACTTCTGCCTTAGGTATATAAGAAGAATAAGACACACGTAGACATAGAAGGAAATATATTATTAAAATGAAGGAAAATAGGTTGCTGGGGTGTGTACTGAACTTTAGCTGCTCAGAATTTCTTTGGCAACAAAATATAAACTTTTAAATCTAAACCTAGTACCACTGAATTAGTTTGTTACTTGATTATTTAATCAGTTACTCAGTTTAGTTGGTTTTTATATGTCACTTTGAGTATCACGTACTCTCGAAGTTTCATAACCTGGTGTTAATAGTGTCACCTGAAGACGGATATTAATAGGTCAAACTAAAGAACGAGAGTGTGTTAACAGATGTGCTGTACGTGCTTGATGTTACGTTCTGAAAGGGAACGTTCGCTGACTGAGCGGCACATGTTTTAAGGTTCCGTGAACACTTGGCTGCAAAGTTCCCACAGACCGTCGCGGTCCAGCGGTTGTAATTCCTGCTCGACATTCGGCGTGGTCCTGGCTTTGATTCTCGACTCAGAGGAAGATATCTTAAAAAAGATTAGTTAACTATCGCTGCAGACTTAAAATGTCTTAGGAAGTACTGAAGAGCATATTAAATTCCGCCAATGCCTTCTGCCATAAGGTTCAGAATCCTTTGTCTTTTTTTTTCATGCTGTCTCAAAAGAAGTATATATAATTTTTCATATTGTGTTGTATGGATGTTAAATTTGGAAGAACATAGTTTAAGGAATATTGATAACAGCGTTGAGGAGAATATTTGAGAAAAGATGGGATGTGGTGACAAGAGGCTGGAGAATGTTAGGGATTCGTTGGGAGTTTCATGTTTGTGTTCAAATATTAGGGTGAACATTAAGATGGGTGGATCATGTAGCAGACATGGGGAATGTGGGAAATGCTTGCAAAATTGTAGTCGGAAAGCCGGAAGGGAATTGACCACTTAGGGGAAGTATACTTAGCTGGGAAGATAATATTAAAATGGAAGTAGTTTGTCCTAGGCAAAACTAAAAACTCTTATGGCGAAGAGACTACATAGAAATTCTAAATTAGAAACAAGCGATATTGATTTCTAATTAAGACTGGTTTCGGGTAATTACGCTAACATATATAGAAACCACGCGGCATGAAGGGCCTTAATATTAAGATGGATCCTGTGTGAACACGGCATTGGACGTTCAGGTTTATCGAAAGGCAGAGGATTTCTGGACCAGTTTGGCTACTGGTGGCTTCTGAAGAAGAGCTGCGGTCCGGGACTGAGCTGTGTCTGTCTGCTACAGATGGAGACGCACGAGTTACGACTCTCCTGAAATTACACCTGTCTTTTCTCGTTACGCTCCTAGCCGTGTGTGGTTCCCCTGACGACGTTGCTTTGTTTCCATTTGTGAACAATTTGTTTCGAAAATAAATGTCGTCACATTCCCTCACAGGGCTAGACAACGAATTCGCTATTAATCAGTTTTAAACATTCTATAAACGTCAACACGTCTATGAAATTCCGTCATATTCAAACCATGTTAAATCATTTGACTTTTATTAGGGAACGTATCAGTTTCAAACCTGGTCCATGTATCAGCTACCCTGGCTGGTTAATCTTATTGTGATTTTCCTCTCTACATTTTTATACTAGTATTTTAAGCCTGTTTTTTTCTATCAAAATATTATATTTGGTTAAATAAGGTTCCTGTCCTTAATAGGAATTGTCATTTTATTTTAAGATTTTTGTTCCTGTTGTGCAAAAATTAAAATTATATTCTTGTTCTATAAAACTGAACAAAGCTGAAATGTCATTTCTGTTTTGGAAGTGGCAAACTTCACACATACTTTGTGTCATCTGTTTTTGTAAGTAGTTACAACCAATTCTTGTTAATCTGTGGTGGCGATTGTACGTCATAGAAATTTCCTATGAATCCAATCATCAGGTACTATGTGGTCCGTGCGTCGTTAAATAAACCCGAAATAAAATTAATAAACACAAACGCGTGGGATGAACATGTATCTTGCAAGAAATGAATCATTCTTCACCTAGAATTTTCCCTCGCCATTCGCCATTTTACCGAAACTTAATTAGTTGACGCATAATTTTTCGTTCCTTCAATTCTTTCTCGTGGTATTTCTTGCACTGTTCCTTTTAGTCTGTCATTATCTGAACGTTTTCTGCGATTCGAACCGTGTACATCGCCACGTACATTCACAATTGAATTGGCGTGATACACTCCACCTTCTGTAGTTTGTTTGTTACGCTTTCTGCGGCGACAGAAAATTGAATTTCGCTGTTAATCTACTCGGCGTGGCTGCAAGATTACAGGGTCACACAGACCCTGCCTACAAGTCTGCGTAGCTTGTAATTATTCGATGTGAAGGGTCAGTTTCCCCTTTGAGCACAGTCCATAGAAATAATTTGTTGCTCGATCGATTTTAATCGACAAAAAAGAGCATCCGAAATCAAAGTTAGTTAATTCGGGATGGAATGTTGAGAATTTAGTTAAAGGATTTCATAAACTTCAGGCAGTGAAATTGACTCGTACCAAAAGACACGTGCAGTCTGAGCTTTGAATAATATAAAATTATTTTGTTCAAATTATTAGCATTACTGAAACTGTTTCTCTATCAACACGAATTCTATGTCTCATTGACATTCTTGAGAAGCTGATAATCGCTCAACTGATTAAAAGATCCCACCTTTTATGAAAGTCGAAGATTCATTAACGTCGTCACAAGACCCAGCATCTGTAATCTGTGTTGAGTCAGTTGAACTGTTCCAGGCTATTTCTTTAATGTGAAAGTCAGTGTTGTTCTTCCATCTACATTTACGTCTCCCAAGTGGTCTATTTCTTTAAGATTTTCCGACTAAAATTGTGCACAGATTTATCATCTCGCCCTTACATGCTATACTTCTCACTCATTCAGTGCGCCTTGATTTAATCGAGCCAATAATGTTAGGCAAGGATTTCAAATTGTGAAGCTCCTCGATTTTGTAGTTTAATCCACTCTCATGTCATTTCATCCGTCATTCTGCCGAATATTGCTATCAGCACCCTGTTCTCGAACACCGTCAGTCTGTGTTCTTCCCTTAATGTGAGAAACCAAGTTTTACACCCGTGAAGGCCAACACACAGAACAAGAATCCGGATTCCGAAACTATAGATAAAGAGAGTTGAAATACCTTTTTGGAGACGCTGGTACACCCCTGTTAAAGTGAGGGTAACAGAGTGCATCGGACCGCGTGGTAAACCACAGTGGAACATGTGCACGTGACCTCCGCACGAGGTCAGGACCTTTTTCTGAGAACCTTGCATGATGACCTTAAAATATTGGAATAGACGCGCGCGCACGTTCTCACAAGCCATCATTAGAAAGTCGCTGTTATTCCGCTGTGACACTGATTTCGGCGAAGATTTTTCTGGTATTTTTTTGTGTAATTAATGACTTATATACCAGGTATTTTTCCAAATCAGTGACAACCATGTTTTGAACACTGACGTTTCATGATATCATGGTTATTGACTGTGGTCACTCAGATATGTAACTTATAAAATAACTAAAAAAATTGCCCGTTAAGAATGAAAGGAATATCTGAAGTAGTAAATGCATGTAGTTATGTATGTCCGAAAATCTCTTAACACCATTACCATGGCAACGGTTTCACACAGAATACAGACAGTGATTTTAAAAATGGTCATCACCGAACGCTTGTCTGTTACGTATTTACGTACTTTGTACCCTGATTTGAAGCTTCGCAAAGTAAAGTATGGGCCTGTTATCATGGTAGAAAAGTAGCACAGTTCTTTGCAATATTCATTGTATTGTAATTCTTCGGTGGGCTTCCGTGTTTCTGGGTTCGAAATTCTGTCACAACGTCGTCAGAGTTTAGCATATGCATGAAATAACAGTCGTGAGAACCTCAAATCTCTCATAACCACCTAATTATAAGAATCATAAAACACTCACTAATTTACGTACCACAGAAGACGAATTAAGTTCTATACAAAACAATGAAAGTATCAGGACATTTGTTGAGCTGACTCCGAATTAGAACTACAGTGTGTTATCAGAACCAGTTGACACGTGCTTTTGTTACAGAGCATAGTTTGGGGGCGAGCCTTCGAGGTCCGTGGCGAAGCGGCTCTGCCCTATCTGGACAGAAGGGAATGCAAATTGGGCGGCTACCGCGTTCAGCTCACCACGTTCTTCCCGGGGAAGTCGTCGTACCTTGCAGACGCCGACACCGGTCCCCTAACCACGTCATTTCCCGCTGTGTTTTACGTCGCATCTCCCTCAAACAAGCTATGGCTCGGCGATGCTCCTCTGACAGATATCGCAAGTCAGATAGTAGAATGCAGTGGACCTAGTGGTCACAACGTCGAGTATCTTATGCGACTAGCAGGCTTCATGCGCGAATGTGTTCCTGAAGCAGTAGACGAACACTTGTTCGCGCTGGAGTTTCTGGTCAGGTCGAGGATAAAGGAGCAAAACCTGTGTTTGAAGACACTGATGGGAGGTTCTCCCATATCTGCTTCGCCTCCCAGAACCCCACCACAAGAACCGGAAGACGCTGATGAAAACGGTGCAGTCGGTGGAGAACCTGCCATCAGACCAGACTCGTTCCAGTTCACTTCTCGAGTTCCTCCGAAGAAACTCCGTTGTCTGAATATCTGATCGCTGTTGTCTGATGGGTGCATGGAGATGCTTTGCGGCCTTCATGGTTGGATCCCAAACGAAGCTAAGAGTCAGATACGACCAAAGACTCAAAGAGCTGTAAGTCCGATTAGATTTGTCGGATGAATTTTAAAAGTTTGAGGATTCGTCTGGGATCTGATTTGTACGCCGACTTGATGTGTGACGATGCCGAGGACGTGGGGCTGAAACATACATGGAACATTTTTAACCTTTTTAGGTGATGGACTCTCACACGCAGTATAATGATATTTGCTGGTAAACTACTAATTTCTTGTTCCAAAAGATACGGATATCCGTTTCCAAACCATATTCCACACTCCAAGTTGACCTGAACGGCTGAAGATAGGAGAGTTTCATGGAAGGAACTGTAAATTAAATCGATATTACCAAAGATTTATTTAAGAATATTTTATATGTCTGTGGACATTAGCATTTTTTTTTTGCACGCTCATAACAAAGTATGTAGCCTACACTTCGCAATTAACACAAAGAAATGTCTATTTGTGCATTAAATGTTTGTTCTGTGTCGTGAATCTGGAAGAAATCACAATGATTATTAATCCTATGTAGTTCTAATACTTTTAAGATATGACTACTGAATACACTATTTGTGTTGATGATTTTGATGTGAAATGTAAGTGTAGAATGAATCTTAAAATGGATAGAGATCCTATTCATTGTTTGTTTTGGTACAGCGATGAACTGCAATTAGAAAATTTGCTGTGCAGGACAAGAGATGATTGTTCCCTTCATCTGACGTGGCCAATTAAAAATATAAGTTCCACTGACAATGCCAAACATAGTAATGGGACAGAATGTGAAATCTCGGCAGTTATGTAATATAAGTAATGCACCATGTGATGATAGTGTATAGGGGGCGCGAAGGCAAAGCTTGGCAAATCGAACATTGCTAATGAAATGATCCGCCTTTCCAGTTCTAGCCTCTGAGGTGTAGTCTGTGCGCCAGCTCAATCCAATTACCGCTACCACAAACACGTCTCCCCACGACTTGTGTTTGTCTGTTCTGATTTACAACGCTGTAACAACTTCTAAGCTTATGCAGCACAGAATGAGACAGGCTTACTATTAAAGCGGGAGGAATCTGGAAGGAAACGGCCGAGGTACTGCCCAGTATTCATAGGGAGTACTGAAGAAAATCGAGAAAACATCGCTCAAATAAGCCAGTACCCGGTCGGGATTCGAGTCGGATGTCTTACAAATGAAAGTCTGACGCGATTTTCTGGTACTGACAGACTGAATTCTTTGAGTTGTCGCGCGTGCCACGTGTCCAGTCCATCACTGTCTTCTCCTCTGTTCTTATGCTGCAGGTCACCGTAGAAGAGCTCTTCGCATTTGGTCTCCGTAAAAGCTGCAAATCTAACACAGTTAACATTTATATGCACGCATGTAATAAACACGCTTTTTTAATGACTGTGATATTTTATGCTTAATTGTGTAAATTTAAACATTCGCAAAATGTCGGCGAAACAACTTGTCTTTCTTGTGTGTTAGTGTCTTCTGTATAACTATTTATGAATTTATTGTAAGTAATTAAAGGAATGTTAACGCACAGCCTTACCTAGTAACTTACTTTCCATGCGACATATTTCGCTTAGATAAATGTCTCATACTTTTAACTTTAATTATAATTGTTTATGTTTGACAGTTTTACTCAAGGGAAATATATTCTGCCCTCTTTCAGCCATGGATTGAAATAATTAAGAGAACAGAACTGATTCATTCAGGAGCAACTGCGGCCTTCTCGTCATACTTTCGTTCTAATCACTTTGTGCAAGTTCGTGATTGGCAGCACTGAAAACAAAGAAATGTGAATCCGCTGTAAACCGTGCTCTCGGTATTTCTTCATTTTTACAGCGTCTTTTGTTTCATTTTGTGACCTTGGAGGTTGCGTATTTTCTGTAAGCGGCATCTCACGTCTTAAAGAGATCCTCGCTACGCTCCAGAGTCGTAACAACTGAACGATTCTGATACGCCACTGCTCTCAAATACGCTGGAGGTCATTTTACGTTTGAACAATATGGCATTTTTAATTCGCCATTGCAGTACGGTACCAAATTATTATTATTTTTTTTATAAATTAATGTGCTAAACGTGGCTGTAATATTGACACCCCTGCTCATCATCCACGAGTCATGCTGTAAAAATCTCGTTTTTGTTGCACAAAGCCATTGTTAAAGTGAAGCCAACACGGCTCTCACCCCCAAAGTGCCTTATGGCCATACCTAATAAGGTTCATTATCGCGCCTGACTCATAAGGAACGTTAAGCCTTCATTGAAAGCAGATTTGAAGTTCTTGTCTGTGATTCACAAAACGTCTTTTGCCGTTTGGGGGAGTTGTAATGAGATTTTAATGAATCTAGGAATTTACTGGAGGTTTGCGTTACGCGTCGGAAGGCTTGTGGGGAATGCGAGGGGAAGCGACCCCAATCTTTATTATGAAAATGAGTAAGTAATTCTGTTCATTCTTTGCATGAAATCCATAACCCGAACGCTTATAAACGTACATGACGGTTCAGGGGTATGTTTAATTTCGTGATACGTCTTATTTAATTTTAATGATTTTTTTTTATAAAACCACGTGTTAAGATATAAGTAAAGTAAAGTTTGTCCCACTATACGCCATGTAGGCGCTTGGGGGGAGTGGAGGTATAGCTCCTCTCTTCCTTGACCTCGGCACTAGATGGGGGTGAGTGGTCAGCATCACGCCCCGGCCGGCTTTACCCCAGGGAAAGGACCCCGGTACCTATTGTAGAGGAGGCTGGGTGGGCCCCAGAGGCTAGAGGAAAAAATCCTCTGCCCCCGTCGGGGATCGAACCCCGGTCGTCGAGCCCGTAGCTAGTCACTATACTGACTGAGCTATCCCGGCTCATACGTGTTAAGATATACGTATTTTAATTGGAGAATTACTGAATATAATAAGTATTTAGGGAAATACCAGCAGGTTCAATACCGACAAAGGGGCATTTCACAGAACTAACATTTCATTCCGCTACGTTACAATGCTTTCAGAGTTAACCGGTGCGGTATGGAGGATGATTTACGATCGCTTTAGCGACTGAAGTCCCGGAACAAAATCTCCAAAAGTTTTAGATGTATTTATTGCGCCATAATTTAAATACAGTGGGGATGGGGCAGACTTCCCTGGCAGCAAGGTATTTAACCCATTCTGTGGGATGTGACTTGGAGCTCTGTTACAGTAGAGCAAAACTGGTGATTGAAATGCGCTACGCCACAGTCTTTGCTAGCGGCTGTGAATTTTTCTCTAGTTTCGCCGTTTCGACATGAGTTAGGAGAATTGTGACACATGTCTGTGAAAAAGAGTGGTTAGGAATCCCTTTACCTGTTTGGGAGGCTGCAGGTATCTCTTGGTATTCCTCAGTCTTTTGACACAAACGCGTCGAACTTTAAGAAACGTCGATGGGAATTGTGTAACAAACAATTATGGGCGACACTAACACCACCTAAAGACCCAACTAACCCAAAGTAAACAAAATTAACTAAATATGCGCATCACTAACCTCAACTGACCTCCACAATCAAATGCATCCACATTCAAATAAACCTTCTTCTTAAGCACTGAATGTTACCCTCACGATGGAGTGAATAAGCACCTCTAGAAACGTCGGTCAGTCTCTACCAGACTGCACGACGCAACATCCCAGAAGACAGAGCCATCTTCATACTCGTCGCCGTGATAATTTGAAATTTCCTCAAATTGCCACGAAGTTTGAATAAACCGCTCTCATTAAAAAACCTCTTAGCCCGAAAGTTTGTAATAGAGTGAGTGTGGCGTTAAGTCTTTGGAAGATCTTTGAAGGCCCCCGATGCAGACCGCCAAACAGGGTGATGTCAGCTTGACCGCAATGCCAATTGCCTGGGACTTTAAACCACTAGACATTGAAAGATGTAGACAGGAACCCGACTTCCTGAGTTGTTTCTGATTGTATTCCGAATGTCACGTGAGGCTACATAGCTCCATGTTGTACTGAATAATGAGCTTCAAATGTTCAGACGTGTGGCAGATTTATGACTGGGTAATAGATGGTTGAAACATTCTGGTAAGATGTAAGCGACTGAAGATTGCCGCCATGTTTGTCTTCATAACACGTGATGAAGGGTCCCCCCCACCCCACTTTTTTTACAATATCGCTTGAACACATTTACATGTGGATAGTTCCAGGTGTGAAAGTAAAGTTTCAAATTACATAACTGATCACCCGGAATGTAGTAAAATTTTCTCAATTAGAAGGTTCAGGGTTTGAACCCTGGCTTCTGCTAGGCTTTGTTTCAAAACTTCTCTCGAGTGAACGATGGATGGGCTGCAGTTTATGGTAGACGCTACTGTGAGACCTAAGGCTTGGAATATTTATGTCTGTACAATAAACGAGTGGTTCACAGACCTCTGACAATTCGCGATTTCCGTGTAGCGTTATATTGTCTTTGCGTACGGCAACATTTCGTTTCTCGTTTACTTTTAGTAAGTATTCAAGCATTCTGACTAAAGAAAAGTTAATTTCCGCCTTGAACATAGGTCGGCGAGGTGACAAGTTGCTGCCTTATTGACTGATATATCCAGCAGAATTTCAGGGACTAATGTCTCCATTTTGAAACGTGTTTTTACATTATAAATTATCTGTTTCTGACAAGTATGCGATTAGCGTCTCTTTATTTCTGATTCCCTGGGAGTAAACCATCTGTCAGAGTGTCTTCGGTAGTTGAAAGAAAATGATTAAAGTTACACACCTGACACTTAGGAATTTGTGGAGATGAAGGAAATGCAGTTAAAAGGAAACAAAATGTTTCGGATGTTCAGTTGATGATGGAGCCAACGAGGACCTCTGAAACATCGGTAAAGTTCTGCCAGATTAAATGGCGTTACAATCCAGACGACAGCGTCTTTGACTGAGTGTCGTGTTTGAAAGTCATTTTTCGCATAAAAAGTAAATACGAGAAGGAAAGAAAGAATGAGAAATTGAAAAATAAAATAAAAGGCGTGGGACAAGAGGTAAATGATTTTAAATATCGCAGGAATTCAGCGAGCGGTGGAGTGCAGGTGTTGGCTGGCCTTGGAGATACTGGTCTGGAGGTTAGGAACTCTGTTAATTGAGGAGCCGTGAGGCTTATCAGTGATTAGCTACCAACCCCAAGTTACGAAATTACTTTCGCTGTATCGTGAATTTCTCTTCTTGTGAACAATGTTTTTTTTACAGCTTTAAATGTAATACGAAATAAGTGGAGAAGGGGCAGATGCCCGCGAGTAACAACTCTATTAGTTTTGCGAAGAGTACAGATTGTATCGTATTCTTCTCTTTCCTGTCTCTTTCAGGCCCAAATATTCTCTTGGGTATTCTTCTCAAACGCCTTCTATTAATTTTCTTCCCCAGTGTGAGAGATCAGTCGCTTATTTAAATTATCTTGCTTCCAGGTTTATGGGCCTGCCTTTGATGGGGGATGTTGTAGTACACCAGATCAGTAAAACGACAATCATCTGACCGCCATTTTTCACATCCTGAAAGAAATGTGGTCCTTCAAAGCGATATAATTCGCCACGATTATAATATTTGATGTTGCGCCGCGTGATCTGGTAGAAGTTTCCGGATGATTCAGAGGTTCTTGCTGCCTCTATCATCAGGGCATACGTCCTATTATTTTACACAATGATCATGCTGGCACTGAGGTCTGACCAGCCTCCTATACAACTGATACTTTCTTTAGGGCCAAAGCGACCAGCGGCAGAGGCTAGAAGCTGGTAGCTCACGTCAAGGCTTGAAATTTCGCCTTCAATTTCCCTTACGTCTTCATGACGTAGTGCTTAAACAAGTACAGGGACTTTACTTCATCACGTCGTCACTGATATTTGGGGTGTTTTGAACACACACTGCCACCCTGCCCTCTACAAACGGCCTCGTAGCACCAGGCATAAACAGGAATGCTTTGAATGGGACCAGGTTGCAAAGTAAAACCCATGTTGGTTTTGTTGAGATACAAAGGTCCTGGGTCTTTTTATGTCTGAATTTCGGCAGTTCTGCTTACCCTTGATTGATCCTTACAAAGAACTGCAGTGCACCATAGGTCTTCTCCGAAGCACTTCATCTGAATGACGAAAGACGCCACGCTTACTACATACGTCTTGAACAATGCATATCACGACCCGTCTGCACAAAATCGAAAGTCGTTGTCTAGCATTTGTCTTTACGGAGTTGTTAACTTTATGGGCTTAAAAATGTTCTACTTAGTGTAAAGCTATGTCTTTGTCTCACTAGCATATTTTACTATTCGCACAATTAATATTTTATGCTATATCAGATATATGCATTTTAAACGACACTGACTTTATCATCGCCCAGATGATGGAGGCAGCAGGGACCTCTGAAAGACACACTTTGTTATATGTTATCTGTTCATTTTATTAATTAAAAAAATTCATTTGTGTTCTGAACGATTGTAATAAGGTTCAGAGTTTGTAGTCTGATTGTATCAGACATCAGTTATCTCACACTGCCTTCTTCAAGGCGTTACGAATTTGTCAGTATTTGGCAACGGTGTAAGAA